CACCATGTGGTCACCTCCGGGGCAGGCGGGGATCGAACTCATGCGGAAGAGGCTTTAGATTCTCAGTGCTGTGCTTTAGCCCGCTGCGCCACCAGGGAGGGCCCTATTTAGAGATTTTTTTTAAAGTCTTTCAATACAATATTATAATCTTCTCCTAACAGGTTTTACACATACATGTTCTGTTAGATTTATTTCTAGGTACCTTATAGATACCTCATATAATCCAGAAATATAAATAAATATGTATATTTATAGAAATATAAATATAGCTTCTAGATAACTTATAGTATCTAGAACTATAAATTATTTCTTTTAAATTTAATTTCTAATTCTTTGTTTTGTAGTGTTCAAAATAGATTAACTTTTGCAAATTGACTTTATACTAGTTAGCCAATATCTTAATTACTTTTTGACAACCAATTACTGTATTTCTTCTATATCAATGCCTACACATGCATTATTTAATTGTAACAATTATATAAAGTAAGTTTAGTTATGCCTTTTTTTTGGGAAGGTGTACATTTAGAGACTCAGAGGAGTTAAATATTTTGTCCAAGGAAACACAACTTGAATCCAGATCTTATGAGGCCTGATCATTGATGACAATGACAGCAGTGGTGATAAACACTTATTGAATACTAACTTGGGGTCAGAACTATATGTAGAATATCTTATTATTTTTAATACTTTGTGTTATTTTGGTTTTCCTTTGTAGAAAACAATTTGTGAATGACAGTTAAAAAAAATCCTTATGCCTTTTAACGTACTTTGTCTTCTCATACTGGCTAGGACAGTCCATAAAATTATTAAATAGACACAGCAGTATGAGGCATCCATATTTCCCATTGCAAAAAGACATTATTCTGAATTTTCACAATTAAGAGTTATTTTGTTGTTTTGCTTAGTAAATGTCATTTATTAGTTAAGAAAGGTCCCTTCTCTTGCTATATTCCTTTTAAAATTTATGAGTAGATATAAAATTTTAACAAAGCTTCTTGTGCCTCTATCAAATGATCATTATCTTCTTTAATCTGTTAATGTGGTGTGTAACAATCACTTTCATATATAAAACCAACTTTGCATTGGTAAAGAACAATGCAACTCATTCATATTATGTGATCATGTTTTACATAAAACTGAACTTACTTTTGTAATATTCTATTTAGAATATCTATCTGTATATATGCTCGTGGCTGAAGCAGGGCTAAATTTTCCTGTCATCCTATTTTTGTTTGGTTTTGTCAAGATTATTTTGCTAACGATCACTATGTTCTCTTAGTCTATTCTCTGGAATAGTTCTGGAATGATATAATCTATACATGTATGGTAGCATTTGCCTGTAAAATGATTTGTGCCTAGTATTTTCTTTGTGGAAAAGTTTCAAAGCTCTGCTTCAATTTCTTTAATAGTTATCTAGGCTTTCTATTTCTATTTATGTCAGTAAGTAATATTTTCCTAAGAACTTTCTGTGTAGCAAACACAGGTTAAAACAGGGTGAATACCTGATTTCTCATCCTGCCGGTTACCAACTATATGAATAGAAAATTCACTTATATGTGTTTAAGCATTTCCATATATGAACAAGGAAAGTTTTTATTGCATGATATTATCTTACACCCAGAAAATAGTTTGCATTTTACAAAGCACTTTCATATTCACAGTCACTGAATTACATTCACGATTCCTTCTAAGGTGCTAGGAGTCCTGATGAAATAAATAGCCCTTTCCATCTAAATCCTGAAGTACATGATGCTATCATCAGCATATGTGTTATAAAGTACAGTCTGAAAATTTCAAGATTTTAAAATACAATTTTGTAAAAGGTAGTACAGAATGATATATAAAACAGCAATAAACAAAGCTACAGATTACCAGAAAATAATGTATTCTTTGTTATACAATAGAACTTTCATCTATATGGGTCTCCAATTATTTAGTCATTTAAAAAATTATATATTGGTTTCTCTAACTTAGAACTACTGGTGTAAACATGAAACAGGAAACCCAGATAAGTTAACCTAATAATTTGTTTTCAACATCAAACCTAGAAGGCAACAACAGTATCATAATGGAATCACAAATCCCTATTTCTGTACTGACCAATCTGGCACCCAACACTTTTCCTCATTCATCCTGCTCATAAAATTTAAGCAACCCTGTTATTATTCCTATCTCCCACCTATACTTTCTCCTATCCAACCCATTTTCCTATTCTCCGGACTATTCCTTCTTTCCTAAGCTACATTTCTGTTCATTTCCGCTCCTTTGTTCATCACATTTTGTATTGTTTACTGTCACTTTACTATAATTTGTTCACCTTAAATATTAGTCACCTTAACAGACATTTTAAGGGTAGAACTCTGAATCATTCATTATATTATATTAAGAGAACTGCCCCATTTTATTCCCTTCAAAAGACCAGTAATCAGTTTAGGATAGGTAATTTTATTTTGTTGAGGTAACATTTGTTTATAACAATGTTTATGCTTTAGAAGTATAGGATCTCTCCTTCAGGTGCTGTTGTCATACCACATCTACCACCAGATGACCTATAGTCTTCCACCATAGTCCAATTGTGCTCCCTCCCTACTTTGTTCTCACTATTCACCCTTCCCTGGTAGGTTCAATTTTACCATCAGATTTGGCAATTTTTAAAGATAATAAATCACTTGTTCTCAGTTCTGGCTGTACATTAGACTCAATAAATTTTTAAAAACAATGATATCTTGGTGTCCTATTAGAGCAATTTATTAAATCAGAATCTCTACAGGTGAGGCACCAGTGGTTCTTTAAGTTTCTACATGTGATACTAATATACAGCAAATATTGTTTTTTTTTTAAGATTTATTTATTTATTCATACAGAACTGGGGTACAGGCCAGAGATGAGGAGGGTGAGAGGATTCACCAGAGACAGAGCGGGAAGCAGAACAGGCAGATCGATGAACTACACTGCTGAGGGGAGCAGCGGGCGGGTCAGGAGAGGTCTGCCACGCCATGTGGTCACCTCCGGGGCAAGCGGGGATCGAACTCATGCGGAAGTAGCTTTAGTTTCTCAGTGCAGTGCTTTAACCTGCTGCGCCACCAGGGAGGGCCACAGCAAATATTGTTATCTACTTATACATGTAGGTTTGGCAAACTATAGCCTGCAGATAACTGCCAAAACTGTATTATAACACAGTCATGCCAATTTACATATATCTTTTAATATATTCTTTTTAAAATTTTTGAGTAGATATAAAATCGTATCAAATCTTGTGCCTCCATCAGACTTCAAACTATACTAAAAAGCTGTAATATTAAAACAGCATAGTACTGTAACAAATACAGACACACAAACCAATGGAATAGAATTGAGACCCCAGAAATAAACCCACACCTATATGGACAGTTAATATGTGATACAGCAGCCAGGAATATACACTGGAACAAAGAAAACCTCTTCAATAAATGGTGTTGGGAAAATCCAATTCCCATATGCAAAAGAATGTAGCTAGGTCAATATCTAACACCATATACAAAAATCAACTCAAAATGGAAATGAAGACTTAGATATATGATCTGAAACCATAAAATATATAGAAGAAAGCATAGGCAAAACATATCAGAATATAAGCTTCAATGATATCTTTTGAGACAGCAAGGAAAACAAAAGAGAACTTAAACAATTGGGACTATATTGAACTAAAAAGCCTCTGCACAGCAAAACAGACCCTAATGAGTGGTACAAAAAAACACCCTACTGAACAGGAGAAAATATTTGCACACCATACCCCTGATAAGGGACTAATATCAAAGATCTACAAAGAGTTCATATAATTCAAAGAAAAAACATACAATACAGTCCAAAAAATATGGGCAGAAGAGCTAAATAGACAGTTGTCAAAGGAAGACATGTAGGGGGCTAAAAGATACATGAAAATGTGTTCATCATCTTTTTTTTTTAGGGAAAGGTATTTCAAAACCACAAAGAGATATATCTTATTCCTTTGATAATAGGCCATATCAACAAGATCAAAATAAACAAGTGCTCTCGAGTCTGTAGAGAAAAAGGAACTCTGTCACAGTGTTGATGGGAATGTAAATTCTTCCAGTCCATATGAAAAGCAGTATGGGGGTTTCTCAAAAGATTAAAAATGGATCTGCCATATGACCTAGGCATCTATTTAAAGAACAATACACTAACTCAAAGGGAAATCTGCACTTGCGTATTAACTGCAGCACTATTTACAATTACCAAATTATAAAAACAACCTAAGTGCCCCCAAAACAGTCAAGTGGATGATACATGTGTGTGTGTGTGTGTGTGTGAAAGAGAGATAAAGAGAGAGAGGATATTCTACACAATGGAATACTTTTCAGCAATCAAAAAAGATAAATTCATGCCATTTTCAGCAACATGGATGGAATTGGAAGGGATATGCTCAATGAAATAAGTCAGATGGAGAAGATAAATACCAGATGGTGTCACTTGTATGTGGCGTATAGGCAAACTGAAGGGTAAGTTAAACACAAATTTAAAAACTAGCTCTGGAAAGCAGATGATAGAACTGAGACATTCAAAGGGAGAGGGGGGTGGGGAAGCAAGCACAAAGTAGGGAGTGAGCACAATAGAATACAGTAGAGGACTATGGGTGTTTGGTGGTGGGAGCACTATAATAACAGCACCATAAGGTGTAGGGGAATCCTATACTTTCAAAATATGAACAATAAAATAAGCCAACATTACCCCAACAATAATAATAGTAATAAACTTAGTGGCTCTTCATCTACTGACTACATGTTATCTATTGTCTGACTTGCCATATGTTTTTCAGGTTTAGAAGTACCCATTTAGCACCAGGCATATTTCTAGTTTCCCACAGTCATTCAAATTATAATTTAAATTATCTTTAAATCAGAAAACAGTGTCTCTAGTAGAAAGAACACTATGTTAGGTACTAGGAAAACTAGACTTGAATTCATTTCCACTATGTCAGTGACTTATTATGTGATATCAACAAAGTCACTTACCTTATGTTATTGCCACAGAATGTCCCAATTTTAAACTAATTTTGTCACCTGGTTTTGCTTGGCTGTGGGAAATAATTTATAAATTGCTAGATATAATAATGTTGTAAATTAGCTTCCACCTTTCAACTTTTACTGCATTTTCTCAAGTTAAGCCCAACATTATCATTTTAATTTTTCACTCTTCTATAATAAAGAGTAAAGAGATAATGGATTAATTGTATAAACTACATAATGACTTGCTCATCCAGTAAGATGTGACTGATGTCTAGCAAACGCTTAAGATTTTAATATTCATGTGTTTTTTCTAAATAAACATACATTTGAAAATAATAAACAAAAACTACATTATCTGAACATGCTCTAAATAATCAAGCTTAACCTATTAGCTAGGGAATTTAGAAAACACAGAAATACAGGTCTAATATAAGACAAAATATACTTAAACTAGTTGAATAATATAATCTGCCATTTTTGGAAAGTAGAAATGCAAAAATTCATATTCATATCTTAAAGTAGTCACTTAATATACTAATTCTAATGTTCCCCAAATGCTTCGCAATACTGATTATACAGAGCCCTTTCAAGTTTGCAACACTTAACAATATTAGAATATTGACTGTAGGCTAGATAACAGTATTGTATTGATTTTAAGTTTCCTGATTTTAATAACTATATATAGTGTATACATGTGTATATATATATATGTGTGTGTATACACACACACACACACACACAGAGTGAGAGGAGAAATGATAAAGGTAAATGTCAACAACTGTTGAATATGTGTGAAGGATATACTACAGTTCTTTATACTATAATTTCAACTTTTATGTAAGTTTGAAATTATCTAAAAATAAACTGTTGACAAATATCCTTTAGAATAGTACCATGTAACAGAAAACTATACTCAAGGCACCTAATATTATAGGATACAATTTTTTAAAAAAAAGTACATCTCAGTGAAGGTCATTCATTAATCAATAATCATTACCTCAGATGATTTTTCTTAACAAATGTAATATGTAATAAATACATTTTTAAGTATGTTTGAAAATTTTATGGCTAAAGGAATTTAAATGAATGTGTCAGATTCTAACAGCTTCACTAATTTTTAAGAAACTTTGATTTGCACGTGTATACAAACAACAGTCATAAAACAACAAAATGATTGAATACTTAACCTATTGTAGAAATTAGTTTGATCTGTGGATCCACAGGGAGAGGTTGCAACCTGAACGGATAACTTTTTTTAACAGAATAATCTTGAAGGAGAAGAACTAAACCAACCCGCAAACTTTTATACCACTCAGGACACAGGGCATTCCACATAATCACTGATACTGTGCCTGAACTGTCAGCAACTTCCAGAAAGGTCTAGAAAAAAAAAAAAAACAGGGTAAAATCACACACACATTGCTTAATTTTATATATAGGGTATTAACATTTTAAGAATGAAGGAGCATATTTAGGGAATAATAGTAAAATAAACTCGTTAACCATAAAGGTTAAGAAGAATTTTTAGTGATATAAAAACACAAAAGAATGTTAAATAATACCAAAATTTCATTCTTTCTTTCTTTATACATAGAACTGGGGTGTAGGGCACAGGCATGGGCGATGAGAGATTTCACCAGAGGCAGAGTGGTGAGCAGAACCTGTGAATCTATTGAAATACACTGGTAAGGGGAGCAACTGTGAGATAGGAGAGGTCTGCTGCGCCATGTAGGTCACCTCCCGGGCTTGGCATGAAATTCAGGCTCTAGCAGTAATAGGACTGAGACCTAACTCCCAGGACACCAGGCAGGCCCTAAATGACACAAAAATTTTATGTGCAATATGATTCCTATTTTGTAAGATAATTTAATATGATAGAAACATACAATCAAATGCAATACATGGTAGGCATATAGACACATAGATGTAATACATGTTATATAAATGTGATATCATATGTGTATGTGTGTGATACATAAATGTGTGTGTAGATACAGGATAAATACACACACACACGGAATAAAACACACTATAATGGTCACAGTGACTCTAAGAGTTGGACTTGGGGTGATAACTATTTTTTTATACAGCTTTCTATACTTTCAAAATTCTCTAAAATTCTCTGTAATTTTTCTAATAAAATCTTAGTAAAACATCTATAGGATTTCTTCATAATGTTTAAATACAGTAATGTGTCAAGTAATAAAACTGTGACAGACTAATGAGAGGCAAGAAAATGAAAATATCTCATGTAAGCTACTTCTTCAAGGAGCTTGCCTGGAGAGGAGTAGAGGTATCTTCAGGTCAAAGGAGAATTTTTCCCTATTTAAAATGGAAGATTAAAGGTTTATTTATATGCTGGTATAGAGACCACACATCGAGAAGAAAAGGTTAAAGATACATAGTGTGGAGAAGAGCAGTTTGATTAGAAGACTAAAATGTGCCAACACATAATTTCTCTCTTTTTTTCAAAAGATTAATTTATTTATGTGTAAAGAGCTGGGGTGCAGGCCAGCGGTACAGGGTGTATGTGAGTGTGTGTGTGTGAGAGAGGATTCACCAGAGACAGAGTGGGGAGCAGAACAGGTGGATCTACTGAAATCCACTGCTGAAGAGGCCTGCCAAACATGTGAGTCACTTCCCTGGCCAGAGATTGAATTCATGCTCCAGTGGCTGCAAAGAGCTTCTTAGTGCTGTGCTTTAACCCCTTGTGCCACCGGGGAGGGCCCCAGAATATCTTTTTGTTGAAGAAATGATATAGAAAAATGCCTTGAAATACACATTGATGCACATTTTAAAAATTATTAAACTGAACTGAAAAACTGTTACCTAAACATAAATTAGCCTAACATGGAGTCTAGGCTGTAAGTTATACTGTACAGCTGTTAAATTAGCATGTAAGAGCTTATCATTATTTGTACCTGATATGGCTCAATCATCTTTTTCTCAGGCTTTCCATAGTATCGCAGTTTTGATTTATGCAAGACTCTAACAAGTAGTGCAGGAAAATTCCTTCTGTTATTCCAGGTCATTTCAAGGTGAGAGAGGGAAATTATTTTGGTATCTAGAATGTAGAAAAGAGGGGAAAATTCTATAAAATGTGCCATGTTAATTTCAAAGATCTGTTTGAATAGTTAACAATGGTAGCCAGATAATACCCAAAGCTACTCTTTATGCCAGCTAAGCCAGTTTATATACTCCTTACATATAAAAATAATACATATTATCACTAATGATAATGGCTAAATATATAATTTACCATATTAAATATTGGTAACATACTGTTCCATATAGAATGCCCTCTACCTTGTCATAACTGTGGATCTAAGCTCATGACCCTTAAGGATTTTTTAATTTTTAAAGTTCTGAGAACTTTCAATCTCTCCTCTAGGAAGTCCTTTTAAAAAAATTATTTATTTATCCTTACAGAATTGGGGTACAGGCCAGAGGTACAGGGGTGGTGAGAGGATTCACCAGAGACCGAGTAGGGAACAGAACAGGCAGATCGATGAAGTACACTGCTGAGGGGAGCAGCAGATGAGACTGGAGAAATCTGTCACGCCATGTAGGTCATATCCCTGGCCGGAGGTCACCTCCTGGACCGGGTATGGAACTTGTGCTGACGCAGCTGTGGCTAGCTTCGTAGTGCTGTGCTTTAACCTGTTGGGCCACCAGGGAGGGCCCCCTTAAGAAATTTTGTGGGAAAAAAACTCACAAAATATTTTTCCGACTTAGTAGGTCTAGGATAGAGTCCTAGAATTTCTAACAAGTTCCCTAGTGGTAATGATGGAAAACATAACCTGGGTAGATGTCTGGTTGCTGCTAACTCTTTGGATTATAGCAGAGACGGTGGCTTTTAGAGATCAGATATATATAAAACCATGTAGTTCTTGAATTAAACTAACAGGTTAAGGAGGTACATATGCTTTTATTAATCAAGTGTGTTCCATGGCTTCTACTAAATTATACTAATTATGCTACTACATACTTGCATATGTAATTGACATATTTGTTTGATGACATTATTTCTGGATTGCCCTTACATTAATTTAGCATGTGTAAGTTCTATCTTCTCCAGACATGCCTGATACGGTCCTGTATCAGAGTCATTGTACTTCTGAAATGCCTCCTCTTAGATACCTGACTGATTTCCTATCTCCTCTCCTTCAAGTTTTGCTGAAAGTCACTTTCTCAGGGATGTTATCCTTAACTACTCTATTGAAAACTGATCCCTTTGCTTATTCCCCATTCCATTTTTTTCCCTACATAGTACTTATTATCTTCTTATATGCCATATAATTTAATTAGAAATGTTTTAATCTCCAAGTCTGTTAGAAAGTACAAAAACTGCTTAGAAGCTATTAACCTTCATTAAAAGATTAATTTGTTTTTCTAATTTTATTCTTCCTTGAGTTAAAACAGGTTCTACCTGAAATGCTCTCCACATTCTGCTCTCACAGTTCCAACTTTCAAACTTGAATTTGTATTTGTCCCAATATTTATTTGGCTAAAGCATCCTTCACTTCCATTTTTACTTCCATATTATAGCATCTACTCCACGTGCTGGCATGAAAACCAATATTGCAATTAGTTTGTAATACATGTTTAAATAATATTTTATAATTACACCCATGCCATTAAAAGACACTATTTTCAGTAACAGTATATCTTTAGTAAGTTTCCTTCCAGATTCTCCAATACATTACTAGCTCAGGGTTACAGGCACTATAACTGATCCAATGTAATTAAGTGATTTCCTTGTTAATATGATCAGAAAAACAGGAGGTACTTTCGGAAATACCTGAAGTTTACATGGAACACTCATGATTAATAAAAGCATATGCACCTCCTTAACCTGTTAGAATTAATTCAAGAACTACATGGTTTTATAACATCTGAGTTCTAAAAGCCACCGTCTCTGCTATAATCCAAAGAGTTAGCAGCAACCAGACATCTACACAGGTCATGTTTCCATCATTACCACTAGGGAACCTGTTAGAAATTCTAGGACTCTACCCTACAGCTACTAAATCAGAAACTGGTGGTGGGGCCCTGCAACATGAATTTACAATCACTTCTGATGTGATATGGATGCCCACTCACACTAGGAGCCATTGTTTTAAATGTCAACTTTAAAAGCAGAAGCAATAAATAGTACTATCAGATACAACTTAAAAATAGTAAGACATGGGCACTCACATATGCATAGATATGTTGGTGGGAATGCAAATCAGAACAACCTTTTCAGAACATGATTTGTCAATATCAACAAAGTTCAAAAAACCAAATATTCTTTAATTCAGTAATTTCATTTCTAGGAACCCATTCATTCAACAAAATATATTTGAGCATAGTGAATAAAAACGGATATATTCTACTGATTTTCAGCACTGGATCTAAAACTAACTTTAAATTATCCTCTCCTCACACTGGCATGATTGTATAAATTACCATATATTCATACTATGGAAAAGTATATGAACAGATGTATATTAAACATGCTTCAGATAAGTGGAAATAGAAAATTACACAGAGTGATATAATTCCCCAAAGATGCACACCAAACAGCTGGCAGTTTGGAGTTTTGAGAGGAAAGTTAAAGACACAGGAGGAGGTAAAAATGGTCTTTCACTCCATCCCAGTATAGTATTACAAATTTCAGACATACAGCAAACCTGAAAGAACACCAATATACCCACTTTCTTGTGGGTATATTTTACTGTACTTGAATCTCATACTTTTAATACAGCATAATTTTAGGTATATAGTTTGGATTTTTAAATACATGGACACTGACCTTTATAATAATATCATTTCAATAACAAATACATTAATTTCATAATCATAAAATGAAATATAGCTTGCAAATTATTATTTGCCTCTTAATTCTTAGAGCAGTGATTTTATCTTTATACATTCAATTCTAAAAATAAAGATGATCCACACAGTAAAAATGTACTGCTGTCTTATTCCATGAAAATAAAAATCATTCCACTACTTCATCCCTGAAATAACTTACTTTTAAAGCTTAACGTTGTTTAAATCATCTTTTGCTACAAATTTCTATAACATCTTTATCCTTAGAACTGGAGATGGATTTAGTTCAATATTTTTTATCCAACTACCCATTCACTTTCAAGTTTGTGGTTGCTACTTGTCATAGTAAGATGATCTATGAATTGACATTATAAGCACATTGCTTTAAAAAAAAAACCTGAAAAACAGTAAGTATAGAAAGTTATCATTTCTCTCACTCCAATAATTTTGCTTTTGTTTTTGGCATTTTATTTATTCCCCATTCCATACCCGTACATGCCTGTAAGTAGTAGTATTCTCCTTAATTCCACCTTTTAGAAAAACAAAAACAAAAACAAACACACCTCAGAGCAGTTGGTGATAAAAGCTGCTATTTCAGGTTAACGTCCCACTTGTGATATAGAAGACTTAACTTCTCAGATCAGTATTGTCCATGGTAACTAATAAACACAGAAATGAGAATCCCAAGCCTTCCCACGAAATCACATACTCAAAAAGCATTATATACGTAGCGATTACACTTAAAGACATAAAAATGGGTGTTGTTAATAGAAACTATTAAGGAATAAATCATGAGCATCAGCTTTTAAATGAAGGTTAAAACATGCAAAACCACGACTTTTATTCTGAATTCAAATCTGCACACTCTCCAACCAACACATAAAATACTCTTCCCACAAATGGAAAAGGAATGAGACCTAAGGTTCCACTGGAGTCAACGCATAACGAACTCAAGAGGCATGGGGACTGTAACATCAGCATTTGTCAGATTAAATTTCAGGTGCATTTGGACACTTCCTGAATGGCCACTTGACAAGCAAAGGAAACCCGGCTATGCACATTTCATCACGCGAGCATCTCTCTGTCCTTCGTGAAAACTTAAGATTAACACCTCTGGCTGGTGATTAATACTAAAGCAGCTTCGTTTCATTTCCCGTTAACTCAAGCTCCTGAAAACTGTTTTTCAAACTCCTCATCGTTCCCTCCAATTACTTACTGTTAAAATTGTGTTCCTCGGGTTGCTTGTTGGTTAACCAGATATCTCCATATGGGTCTTCATTATTCCACAGCGCCAGGTAATGACTCTTCCCGCCCCTTAAAGGTCTCTCGGGAATCTCTCCGTGAGCACGATTCCTGAAGGGAGTTTCTAAAGAAATAGCGTCCAAGGTCCCTCCACAGTGGACGTTATCTATGCACAGGATCCCCTGGCCTAACCTTTTCTCATTGTACAGACAGGAGACTCTGGATATTTTCATTTCTATGCCAACTTTCAGAATATTTTTATACACGAGAGAATTCAAGCCTGGGTCCAGGTAACACTTCTCCTGGTACACCCCGTCAGAGATGGTCACATCATAGCAATAAAGGGGAGGTTTGGGTATCGTGTCGCGTGGCTCATCCTCTAACAGGTACCTCTGGACGGCCAGCACGGCGACAGGAACCACCTCCGAGGGGGTGACCCACTGGAGAGGTGAGTCAGTTATTTGCTCTAGAGTCCTTTGGATCCAGGACCTGGGTCCCAGGGCGCGGGCCCGCCGGATCACCCCACCTGGGACCCCAGCCCGATTTCTCTCTGGGTTCTGCAGGTCTAGCCCAGCATGGGAGGGGCCGGCCTGAGGTTGCCCTAATTCAGCAGACATTGTGGGCACTGCGCACCCGCCTCACTCCCCAAAACTAGTTCGCCCAGTCCCAAGTGTCGAGAGCGCAAAACCCGGCGCCCAAGCGACAGCGGCTACTCTGCCCCAGCACCCCGACGAGGCTCCGCCCCGTGGCCGGGCTGCCGGGACATTACGCGTGCGCGCGTCAGCTCCAGCTCCGCCCTTTCTGGCGCGCTTCCATCCCAGAGGCACTGTTACTAGGCAGTCACACCCGCGTTTACTGACGTAGCGGCGCCTCTGACCCGGTGCCCGCGGGATTGCGAAAGGCGGGCCGGGTGGAGCGGAGGAAAGCGTCGGTTGCCATGGTTTCCCAGAGCGTGGCAGGAGGGCGGGGTGGTGCGGCGGGGTGGGGGAGGAGCGCTCTCGCTCTAGGCCTGTCTAGAAGGATAATTGCCCAGTTGGAAAAGAAAAGTAACTGGAAGCCGGGAGCAAGTTATCATAGCCCAGGAGTTTGGGAGGGTTGCATCTTAGATCAGCAACAGAAAGTTAATTGGAGTTGATTAATGTATATAAATGTGATAAATTTGGGTCGCCTGTAATAAGAACAAAACCGGGTAATGTATGCACAGCCTTCCTGACACAGCCCAACACAAAAAGGCTTCCATCAACGTTAGCTGCTATTGCCATTAGCATTAGCATAATTGTCTATAGTGGCTCCTTGAGTGCAAAGTGGGTGAATTAGTGATTAGGTGCAAATGAAAACAGAAAATTGCACAATTGCCTTGGAAAAGAGCTACCTTAGATTAGACCTCTTAAAGTGTACTTATTTTTAATATAATACCTGGCTTAGCATACAGCTAGGATATAGACTTTTAGAAACTGTAAGGAATGGGTATGGATTTAATAAAAAGCTGGTAAGAATAGTCAGAATTAAAATAAATCACTTATGATATGTACCCAGATGTACCAGGACACACAGAACGGAGTAGTTGCCCTGAAAATATTCTTGAAGGAAATGTTTGTGGTTTCTGTTGGTTTTTGATTTCTTGAAATTAATTTATGAAAGGATTCTTTAAATATTTCTGTTGGTATTTACAAAGGTGCATTCAAATGCTTGAAATTCATCCTTGAGAATTTTATTTAATAATATAATAGTTTATTTTTACATCGTTTTGTGCCTTTCTCCATCTCAATTGCAATCCCTGGTTGCTTCCCATCACCAAATCACCCATGTGCTATCAACATAAACCAGTGAACTTCCCCCTCCCCCATTTTTGATCCGATTCCCCACTCCACCACTATTAAATGTCTCTGGTATATAGTTGTTCATTATGATCATTATTATTATTATTTTCTCCCCTGGCCCTTTATACTCCTGCTATGAGTGAAGCCATCCAGTATTTTTCCTTTTCTTTCTGGCTTATTTCACTGAGCATGATCCCTTCCAGCGCCATCCATGTTGCTGCAAAAATCATGTGTTTATTTTTTTGGTTGCTGAGTAATACTCCATTGTGTATATGTACCACATCTTTTTAATCCAGTCATCTACTTTCAGGCCTCTGGGTTGATTCCATGTCTTTCCGATTGTAAATAAAGCAGCAATAAACACGTGCCATCCTTGAGAATTTTTAAAAGGCCATTTTAGGTTTATTTCAATTACATTCAACTTCTTTGCTCTCTATTTTTCATACTTTATTCACTATTTAATGAAACCCCTAATATGAGGGAAGTACTGTTCTTGCCATTGGGGGTAAAATAGATTCCTGTAGTCAAGCTGCTTCTCATTCTTTGGTCTGAAGAAACTTGCCGTTATTCCTATTCAACTAATTCACTCATTAATGTATTTTTTGAGTTTCAGCTCTGGGCAGGTATAATCTTGTTATGGAGACCAAACAACATAATGAAGGGAAGGGAAGAAAGTGGAGGCGTTAAAATTTTTTTTTTTGAGGCGTTGAAATTTTATATGGAGTTTGATTCAGGAAAGGTTCTCTATCAAGAGCTTGAATAGAGCAGAGACCTGCAGGAAGTGAGGTGGTATCTGAATATCTCAGAAAGGGACACTTGTATCAGAGAGAACACCAAGGGCAGAGTGCGGATAATAGAAGCATGCTTGATATTTTAAAGGAAATGAAAAATTCCTGTTGAATGGAGTTCAGGGGTACGGGGGACAGTCATAAGTGATGAAACCAGAGCAGGAACCTGTAGCCATTCCTCTCTTTTGAACAAAAGATTGACATAAAACTTCAGCTTGATTTCCACTTCCTCTATGAAGCTTCCATAAATAATTTGTTCTAGAATGATCCTTTCTAAAAAATCTTATCATTTAATATGCATCACACATTTAGCATTGATCATTTAATACCTTGTAATTAAAAACAAAACTTCTAACGTCTGTTTCTTTGTTTCTCTAGCTCAGGGTGAACCTGGACACTCGACATTTTGGGCTGTCTCTTGCACTGCAGGATGCTTAGCAGCATTCCTGCTTTTTAGCCACTACATGGGGTAGCACTTCCCACTTCTTTCAACCCACCCTCCTCACCCCTGCCCAGTAGTGACAACCAAAAATAATGTTGTCAATGTTGTAGACATTGACAACTTTCCCTGATGGTGGTGGTGGGGGACTTTAATATATTCCCTGGTTAGGAGCCACTAATAATCTTTTTGAGATCTGATTTATTCCTTTTTGTTTCCTTTATTTCTTTCACTACTCTTATGCATAAAAGGCATTCAAATATTGTAAATAAATGAAAATCATGCCCAGTTTTTCTATCAAAGGGAATATAGACCCATGTGCTTTTCTACAAACAAACCAAAAAGCAAACTTACACAATATATTTTAAAATAAGATCTAGTATGTTTACTACTGAGTCCACAGTGCCAAAATTAATATCTAGTGGAGAGTCAATAGTAATTGTTGAATGAATAAAAGAAATTCTGATTTTATTGGATTTTTCAGCAGGAGTCATTAAATATCTCTATTGATTGTTCAAGGAGTACTGATTTGATATTTTTCAAATCTGCTCCTTCAGCATCCTCTAAACTATACACCCAGTGGGATTTATACCTAACAGTATTATATCATCATCTTCTGGATCCTTGCAGGCAATTCATAACAGATGTAGGTTGGCAGTGTTGCTCAATAGTTGGGGGAGTTACGGGAGTTGGGAAGAAATGACATCCATGTTTCTTTATACAATAATTCACACAATTGTACAGTGACTATGGGTACATGTTTGGAATTTTTTTGTATTGCTCTATTGACAATCTGCTGGTGGTATATGTCACCAAGATTTATGGTGTCAACTTGAGTAGTTATCACACCTGTATATGAGTGCTCCCTGATGTGACATTATAAGCACCTGTTTTAGGATAAATACACAATAATAGAATAAGTAAGAAAGAAGCCTTTTAGAGCCAATAATGAGTATCATTTAGGTTACGATTCCCCACCTCCCACCCCTCAGACCTAAAAGATTGCTGTGGTGCTCTCCAGAGCTCAAAATTGTAAAAGCATATACTTTATAAAGTGGTAATGTTCTACCATAATCAAAACACTTTAACCACATCATGAAATTTATTTCGTTTGTCCGTTAAATTTGATACATATTGAGTTATATTGATTTTCCTTATCTTTAAAATTGAACTTATAAAATTGGTCAAGGTTGTTGAGAAATTAAGTTAGTTTACATGGGCAAATGCTTAAAAAAGTGTCTGGCACATGCTAAGTATTCAATAAAAGGAAAACAAAGGCATACCATAAAACTAAAACTATAGATTACTGCTCTTCAAATGGTGGATTATACAGTATTAATGCAGTCATTAAGTCAATTTGACTCAAAACAAGCAATTAAAAACATAAATAGGATAGTATTAGAAAATGTCAAAACACATAGCACATAGTAAAGGTAAGATTGCTTTGTAAAATGTGTATTTTACAGGAAGTTCCAAAATCAAGGAGTCAGGAGAGCCACTCCGTACACCTGTCGGACAAGAGGTTCCTAAAGGGCGCTGCCTTGCTACCCACCTCCCAGCTGATCCTGGGGGTCTGACAGCATGATCTGCGGTTCAGGACTGCAGGTCCTGGCCCAGGAAAAGGACAGGGTTCCAGCGAAAAGGCAAAGCCCATGGACTGATCACCCATCTAGGGTTTGCAGCAAGGACGGCGTGGGAGTGATAGTAGTGGGGGAGGAGACGAAGGCGAGTTGGGTGGTGGTACGCGGGTGGACTGTTGGCAGGAAGGCCGCACCTAAGGGGAACGATACTACAGAAAAATGACCCACAATATAAGAAAATAAAAAAATACATAAAAATTGTATTTAGATTTGTTGGCAGCTATTGTTGTTGCATAGTGGTGGGTCATAATATAAAATTCTTTCCTGCCATAGATTGTGACAGAAAAGTTGAAAAATAATTGGTGTAGTTCAACTGAGGTCCACTAAATGGAGACTCACACAATTCACGATCACACGGTTTCAGAACTACTAGCTAAATCTCCATCAAATGTTTTTTCCACAACATAAATTTGGGCAAATCCTGGATTATCCCCCAGGTGATAATTTTTTTTGAAAACCCTTATTTTTGTTTTCATTTGAGCAGCTTTGTTTGATTTCTTATTCATTTAACTTCCTGCGATTTACTTGCTTAGGTAGGTAAATCAACATCTTTTTCTTGGGTCTTGAGCGCTGGGTATTGGAGACACACTGTAGGTTTATCAGATTTATAAAATTGTGAGCGTGTAGGTAGAAATGTGGGGGAGAAGGAAAAAGAAACGGTATGACTAGTTGTTGCTAAAAGGATGTAGAGAGTTCAGATGCTCTCTCACAGAGTATTGAGGTAAGCTCTCAAACATCACCACGGTAACAGGAGGACCAGAGGGTGGCTGCCTGGCAACCAGAACACTACATCCTCCAGCTCAGTGCTGCCCTTTCCCAACATTTTTCACGGTAAAGGTTACTTCTTAATGATTGTATCAACAAAATTGTCTCTATACAGAGGATGAATCTGCATAGTTTATAAAACCACCTATGTAATTGAAATCAAGGGTGTTCCTATGTTACCTTTTTATCAGCTGTTGAATGTTTTGATTTATTTGTTGCCTGTGCATAAACAGATGCCTGTAAAGCAGACTTACTGTAACAGTAGTTGTAGACTACCTTTGCCTCTTGGATTCTTAAACAAATG